CATGCTTCTAAGGCTATGTTTAAAAACTACTGATTTGCATTGCACTGAGCCACAAACTGTGACTTTAAAAAATAAAAAGGTCTGACAAATCAATGTAAGCTCAGAAACAGCTTGAACCTCCTGAGAAGATCTTGGTAATCCTGGCAAAGACAGGAGAGAGGAAACAAAGCTAGCCAGAAGCTAGAGTAAAAAAGGCCAGTCACTAACAAGACAGAAATAAGGAAGATGTGGAGAGACAGAATCTTTCTTATCCAAGTTCTTCAAGCATTTGCTAGTACAGCTCTGCCATCTAGGTTGCAGATTTCTCCCCCTAAAGCAACTTTTGACCTTCAAGGATTAAAAACTTGCCAGCTCCACAACACACTCTTTGGGGAAGAGAAAAATCTGCTGCAGAATTTTTTCTGAGTCTGCAAAAGCCTCGCAGAGAAGCAAGAGCACCCATGCTGGCACCAGCCATCAGAGAACATTATCTTGGTGCAAAGACTCAGCTTTATACTTCAGTGGGATGTCTAGCTAACCACTTAAAAAGCTCTTAAAAGCACTGGTCATTCTGATAATCAGTCAGGCTGGACAGTGTTTAAAGAACTTGAATAAAGGAGCTCCCATTAAACAACAGGAAGAAAAGGGTACCACGGATTTGGGAGGACATTTGAGAGAAAATGTGGTTTTCAGCTCCAGAAATCTCAAGTGGATTCCAAAACAAAAATAGCTTGCTTCACATCAAGTCAGTCATATGGGGAACCACTGTCAACTTGACCATGACAGAGATGGAGGATCTGGGCCCTAGCGCCTATACGGTGAAGGCTGAAGCACGGTGGCTTCCCAGGAACATTCCTTGATGCATCTGTCCCTTTTTCCTGACTAATGTTTTCTCCTTCCTGCTTCAAAGAGGAAAGCAGAGAGTGGACTTGCACCTGTGCTGCAGCTACATGATAAGCCAAGGCAAAAGGAGTGGCAAAGCCACACATGCTGCTCTAAAGTGCACTGACTTCCAGTATTTATGGGGAGAATATGAGAAAGTCAGAGGCGATTAGACCCAGATTACTGCTGGATCCTGGAAATTAGGATGGGAAATACTGGCTAAAATATCCAGTGGAGAGCCAATGTAGAAATGGCAGTTCCCCCATCACTAAACAGGTAGTCTGTGCTTAGCCCAGCACTGGTACAACTCACAAGACAGGAAGCAGCAGAGAAAACTGGCAAAATCTGGCTTTTGGTGTTAAGGGAACAGTTAATTTTGACTCTTGTCTCAACACCACCAATAAAGATTAAGATCAATACACCATCTCCTCCATTTGCCTTTGTCTCTGTTCAGGCACTATGGAGTCACAACAGTTTGGTGCTGAGGATCTAGACACTGAATTCTTAAAAGCCTCTAAAGCTCTTCTGAAACATCTAATCTGTTCCCCAGTGTCCAATCAGTTGTGCTAAAGGCAAGAAACCACGCAACCACTAGGCCAATGCATGTTATACGCAAAACCACAGACCATCCTGAGCAGCGCTAACTAAGCAGGCTACTGGCACGTCCTCTTAAGTCTTCTGATCAATTCAGCATTGACAAGTTAACAGCATGCCCACTCTTACACAATACCTGAACGTTTCAATAGGATAAATACCCCATTCCATGACACACTGAAAAATAAAGTAGGGCAAGTCTGCTAGCAAAAATGTTAAAAGAAATCCAAAGTTTTGAAAAATTTAAATAGGCTAAAAAAGTAAATGAAAGCTTCAGCCTTATTTCTTTTCCTGAGACAGTGAATCCCATGGTAGCACACAAATTGAAAACCATGAGGAAAAGAGGTTTTGACTACAATGGCAAGCCCCTGAGAGGCGGTATGATGAGACCTTAATAACCAAAATAGTCTAGGTCATCACAATCATAAAAACCCTAGAGCTAACCCAAATTTCCAATGACCCAGAGAACAAAATATTTAGAGCCATCCATAATTTAGCATTAAAAGACAAACATCCTGGTCTACTCACCGTTTTGCAGCCTCCTCTGTAACATATCTAACTTTGGTCAGAAGGAGTTCCAGCAGATATCCTCGATGAGAGTCTCCCAGCATGTGTAACTCATCCACAACCACCACTCCTGACAAAGAGAAGCACTCAGGTTATATCTGACAAAACTCCAAACTAAGGGCAGCCTTGATCCTTTCATATTCCACATGATGAACTGAAATTTATGTTCACGAATCCAGCTCTGCTTATCAACACCAATACGGCTTCCTTCTGCCACTAATTCTTCTGAGAGAGACAAATCATGACCAATGTCATGACATTTCACACCTGCCACAACCTCACACACACAGAGTCAGCTTTTAAAAAAATAAATAGGTTGAGTAGTTAGTCTGGCCACCACGCAAAACAGTATTGCAGCATCTATACTGTAACCTCTCTGCAAGTAAAAACCCCCCAGGCTTCAGAGTATCTGGAAAGGAACATTCCAGCACCCAAATGAGCTAGTCAAAAACTTTGTTGACATCACTGTCTTAGTTAAAAACATCACTCCTTACTAATACAGTAATGTCAGAAAAAAAACACCTAGAGTAGATGTAATTAACTGCCATAGCCTGCTTCCTATTATATCTTTTCTCATTAAGCAAACCTGAATGAGCTCTACTTTTTGCCTCAGTCTTCACCAGCAAGTGCTCCAGCCACACTGCCCAAGTCACAAAAGGCAAAGGCAGGGACTGGGACAATGAAGAACTGCTCATGGTAGGAGAAGATCAGGTTCAAGACCATCTAAGGAACCTGAGGGTGCACAAGTCCATGGGACCCGATGAGATGCATCTGTGGGTCCTGAGGGAACTGGTGGATGAAGTTGCTAAGCCACCATCCATCATGTTTGAGAAGTCATGGCAGTCTGGTAAAGTTCCCACCGACTGGAAAAGGGAAAACATAACCCCTATTTTTAAAAAGGGGAAAAAGGAAGACGCAGTGAACTACAGGCCAGTCAGTCTCACCTCTGTGTCTGGCAAGATCATGGAGTAGATCCTCTTGGAACTTACGCCAGGCCACATGGAAAATAAGGAGGTAATTGGTGACAGCCAACATGGCTGCACTAAGGGCAAATTTGACAAATTTGGTGGCTTTCTACGACAGGGTTACAGCACTGGTGGATAAGGGAAGAGCAACTGAAGTCATCTACCTCGACTTGTGCAAAGCATTCGACACTATTGCGCACAACATTCTTGTCTCTAAAATGAAGGAACATGGATTTGATGGATGGACCACTCAGTGGATCAGGAATTGGCTGGATGGTCACACTCAAAGAGTTGAGATCAACGGCTTGATGTCCAAGTGGAGACCAGTGATGAGTGCTGTTCCTCTAGGGTCAGTATTGGGACCTGTGCTGTTTAATATCATTGTTGGCAACAAGGACAGTGGGATTCAGTGCACCCTCAGCAAGTTTGCTGATGACACCAAGCTGTGCAGGGTGGTCGGCATGCTGGAGGGAAGGGATGCCATCCAGAGGGACCTTGACAGGCTAGAGAGGTGGGCCCCAGCAAACCTCATGAAGTTCAACAAGGCCAAGTGCGAGGAGCTGCACCTGGGTCAGAGCAATCCCAAGCACAGATACAGGCTGGGCAACAAACGGTTCAAGAACAGCCCTGTGGAGAGGGACATGAGGGTGCTGGTGAATGAAAAACTGAGTATGAGCCAGCAACGTGCACTTGCAGCCCAGAAAGCCAATTGCAGCCTGGGCTGCATCAAAAGAAACGTGGAAAGCAAGTCGAGGGAGGCGATTCTCCCCCTCTACTCCACTCTTGTGAGATCCCCCACAGAATGCTGCATTCAGCTCTGGAGAAACTTCAGTGACTTCAGGCTCTTCAGCACAAGAAAGACATGAACCTGCTCGAGGAGGACCACAAAGATGATCAGGGGGCTGGAGCACCTCCCCTATGAGGACAGGCTGAGAGAATTGGGGTTGTTCAGCCTGAAGAAAAGACTCCAGGGAGACCTTATAGCAGCCTTCCAGTACTTAAAGGAAGTGTAGTGATGGGATGAGGGGTAATGGCTTCAAACTGAAAAAGATGGTGGAACAGGTTGCCCAGAGAAGCTGCGTCTGCCCCCTCCCTGGAAGTGTTCAAGGCCAGGTTGGATGGGGCTCTGAGCAACCTGATCTAGTGGAAGGTGTCCCTGCCCATGGGGGGGGTGGAACTAGAGGATCTTTTAAGGTCCCTTCTAACCCAAACCATTCTATGACTCTATGATTTAGCTTTGTCTTTCTAATGAAAAAAATCCTGATATGACTGCTCTGTTGTCCATCCTACCTCCTCCAAATGACTTTTTAATCTATTAGTCACCTCCATCAAATTCATAAGATGTCTAGAAACACTGAAAAGAACAATGGCTAAAGCTTTCTGAATATCAGCAGCTGGAGACAACAGACCAGATTAGGATCTCCCCTGAGGAGAATACATAGAGCCACTACAACTCAGCCACCCAGCACACCTCCTGCACACATCCCAACTAGCAGCAGTATGTACCCTTTCTGGCCAGCTGACAGGGTCACAGGGACACAGAAAAGGCTGAATGAAGGTTAAACAAAAAAAGCAGGATACCAGGCTTCATTAGTTTTGCTGCTGTGGAATTTTTTTTCCTCTTTGGTGCATCTATGTAATATCTCTTGGTACAGCTAAAATAGCTGGAGCTTAAGGGCAAATGCGACCTTGTATTATCTGTTTCAATGCTATTTTTCCTTCTCATTTTTTTTTCTCTCCTTCCTACATATGTTCCTTCTCTCTCCGTCTGTTTTCTCCCCCCTTCTCTTTCAAGCCACTTAAGTTAGAAAAGAGTGCTGCACTGCTTCATCAGTCTCTTTTACGAACTCCCACCCATCCAGCTTCTGTCTTCCTGTACTTCCTCTATTCTGTGCTTACTTGCAAAAAATGGTAATTTGTTGGTCATGAAATACTTATTTACTCAGCTACCAGAAAAAGCTTCTTCCTGCTTCCCCATGCAATAGTCTGCCTGAATTCTTTCAGCAGCTGAGACAGGACAGTGTGATCAGTTATCCATCAAAGTAAAATTCATACAAGTTACCTTTCCAGCCTTTGTGCCAAGCAGCAGCACATTTTGCTTCCTGAAATGAAGCATTGAACACTAGTGGTACCTACAGGCCAAAGCACAAGGAATACCGCTATTTGTTGTACGGGCCACTTGTTCTATACCTTCTGCTGCTATTCAGCTATATAACACATATGCAAACCCACACTAAACCTGTATTGCTCTAGCACTCTGCAAGCTGGTGAGACCTGACTGTCACACACAGACACACAGTGCTCTCCTCTGTTCAGGCAGTGCTCAGAACACACCCACTGACTAACACAGCAGGAGCAATCAGGCGACCAGTATTTTTCACAAAGCTATCCTCATCATAAAAATAGAATTGCAACCAAGGACGACTACAGGTCCCAGCATGCAATGGTATTTTCTACTCAACAACAAGCTCAACAGTGCAAGTGGGGCCAGAATTTCATCATACTGCATTGCTACTGAAAATGAGGCTAGCCTCAGCCTCCTACTTCTGTCTGCAAATTAGACTGCTGAAAAAAAAACTCCTAAAGGGCTATCATACATGTTCACTGTAAAATAACTAGGCTGCTTTAAGTTTACATAATGTTCAAAACTAAAAAGTTCTGAATGACAGGCAGGGAGGATTTGATTATTTTTTTTAAATGCAATTAAATTAGTAATTTTTTAATTTCAAGTTTAGATTAAAAAAAGAAACACAACAGCACATTACAAATCCATTCCCAGCTGACATGTTGAGAAGGCAGCAGATTCTTCTCTAATCCGCTTTTGTAAAAATTTCTTTAGCATCGGTGTCAAGAAGCTCAACAAGAGCAATATCATCTCCCTTGTACCTGGATGTTCAAAACTGACACACGTTATATAAAAGCAATTTTGTGTTGCTAATTATTAACTGCTTCATACAGTAAAGAGAGCTCTGCCAGGCAGAGGATTTGAGTTTCTCTCAACAATTTCCAAAGGCAATGTGAACTATTAGCAGGGGGTTGACATCAACAAAAGGAACAGCTCATGCTTGAGATGGAATCCAGCCAGAATTGCAGTCATCTCCCAATAACTCATCTCAAAAAATAAACACACCCTCATTACGAACTGGCCTAAATTTAGAACTAATTAGAAGATGAGGCACAATCTTGCAGGTTCAGACAAGCTCGCTTTAGGTGACAGTTAAACTGGCATTTTCAGCTCATGCGCATATTTTGCAGCTTTTATGAAAATTTATCTCCAAATAGAAATTTTGTCAGTTTCCTACTTTAAAAATGATTCTTAAACTCAAATGTAATTTAAAAATTAAGTTCAAACAAGCATATAAAGAAAAAAAAACATTGCTACCCTTATTTCAGTTACACGGTCATATTGGGGCACAAGGGAAACGGAGGGTTGCAGCAGAGGTGTTTTCAAATGGTGAAAGAAAAATATGCTTTAAGGAAGTATTGGTGTTGAGGACACATATTCAAACTCATATTTTGTAATCAGTTGGCTGGTTATGCCTATATGACTCTTCTCAGGTACATGCATCTTAAGGAGCACAATAAAATGCAGGGATGGAATGATGGTACCAAACCAAAGGGATCTGGCATATCTCTAGCTTCTGAAAGACGGTATCATTAAACAATATATTTTAAGTACACTGAGTATTCTTCCAAGGCCCCCAAGCCAACAGAAATATGGAGGGCATGACCCCACTCTCTGCCTTGTGCAGGCAGTACAGCTTGTACAGTGTGGTGACCTAGGATCAAACTAACCCTACTTAAACCAAACAAAAACCCCCTGAACTAAGTAGCCATATATTGAAATAACTAACTGCATGATGACCAGTTCTCTTGCAAGGGAAGGGATGAAGATACACATTCAAGAATCAGGCTGGACTGCAGGAGCCTCAATTTGAATGAGCATAAAATGCTACACAACCATGGTCATGCACTCATCTTCCAGCCCACCAGCAGACTAAAGCATCCATGGCGATCCAGCCCCTATAGATCCAGGTGTGAATGTGTTATCCCACAATCTCACACTCTGAAAAAAACCTGCAAGGTTTTATTTCCCTTATTCTCTCTTTCTCGTGTTTAAAAAACTCTTCTGCTACAGAATGCTGCAGTATTATGACACCAGACACACATGGAACAGCAGTTCCATAGATGGAGGTCTCAGAGCAGTTTGATACTCATCTAGTTTTCCAATTTTTATATTCTCAAAATAGCAACCAGCTATGCGACAGGACAGAGTGAAGATGGGAGGGATTACTGTATAACATATAACCGGGTATAGCTTTACTGAGCAGGGACACAAAGAACAAACTTCTGACTTAACTAGGAAAACAAGTGCTCACTGGAAACACAGGGCTTCTTTACGTTCTATATTTCCTCCCAATCACTAAACAAATACTACCACGATCTAGTGGCCACCAGGGCCACGATGACCCAGAAGCCTATGTTACAAGGATAGAGGCCTTTTGAGCAAACTGCAAGAGAGAAATGAACGTCACAGCCCTCCTAGTCACCATGCCTACCCAGGGGAGCTCTACGTATTCATTCCACTTATCTGAACCCAGATGAGCACCAAACACAACCCTCCCATTCCTTGAGCTAAGCGAAGATAAACCATGGATGCCACAATCTCTGTCAAAAACAAACGAACATGCACTCATTCTTGAACTCAAACATATCCCAGACCTTTAATTCTGTTCCTTAATTAGAAGACATTTTCTAGCTATAGGAATCACTGCTCGTTGTGGCTAATCACCATCCATGGATTGTCATCCATGTCAGACAAGCTAATACCTGCAGCTTCTACCTACTCACCCCAGCCACTGAGCTATGTAGAACAGTCCTGACTACCTTCTAAATCCAAATCAGAGGTGCTCTGGAGGAAGAAAAATCGCTCAGTTTTCCTATATGGCATACCTGTCAGATACAGAACCGAGCAAATACAAAGTATCCCATGATTTCACACCTACTCAGAGTATGCAATTAACCTCATCCCCCACAACAGTCAAGTCTTAGTGTTTTACCCAGTGAGTCCATTTTGTTTTCTTCTATTAGTCTATTGATTAGACCGTTGGCTTTCTCAATGGTGCAGACAGCAACATCCAAGGCAGAGAAACGTCCAGCAGGAGACATGCTTCCCATGTAGCCTTCAACTCTCACGTCCACCTCTTGAAACAGGGCCTATTTTCCAAGAATGTCATGCCAAGGTTACAACTCTGAATTCTGACCAATGCCTACTGGAATCACATAAAAGCCTGCATCCTACAGCCACAATTTCTAGTACTCAAAATGCCAACTAATTCAATTAAAGCCACGGCTCTGCCAGTTACTGCTCCTCTTTTTTTTTTTTTTTCCACTGTCATGTTTTATTTCCAAAGCAGAAGCCACACAGTACACATTGCAGGGTAAAGCACACTGAGTAAGAGATGGGGACCACTGCTTTGTATAAAAACATTCACTATTAAAAAGGTTAGAGAGCACACAGTGCAACAGTTTATAATACCAGTGGGTTATGTGCAAAGAAGCCTCGCTCCTGAGGAATCCCGGGCAAAAGCCAAATGTGGGACCCCGAACACAAAGATGTCACATCTCCCACTGAAAGTCAAGAAACGATGACTTCTTTTCTTCCGCAGCTTATTACTGCAGTGCCAAAGTTTGGCACATTACGCACTGCATTAACAAAAGGTACAAATGTTCAAGCCAGATGAGCAGGATACCATATGATTCAAGAACATGCAGCTACAGTCAAATCTTGGGCCAGGAGCAGCAGAACACGGCAATGATAATCCTCCAGCTTTAGAAGATTAAAGGAAAAGCATGTCTCCATCATCAATCACTACAAAGTAGCTTTGGCACTCAGTTTGTAGCATTTCCTAGCAATTTGCAAGGTTAAGATACCATCTCAGTTTATTAACACCCAAAATGTCTTTAAATGTCAGAAACTATAACAAACATGTCTGCTGGTTTTGTATTTGTTTTTAGTAACTGTTGTTACTTTGATATATTAGATAATGGAAACAACGTTTGATATGAAAGTCTCTCAAGAAAAAATATTTTTGTTTTAAAAAGACTGTTCCCACTGTAATTTTGTTTTTAAATAGCTGGGGTGAGGAAGCCAAGACATAGCCGCATTCTGTCAGAACAAATTTTTAACAAAGTCAAAGTAAAATCAGAAGCACAAAATTCTGGTGGAACACCCCAAGGAAAGCTAAAATATCCTTTTATCCTTTCAGACAATGTTGACACATTCCCTTTGTAGTTTTTCAGACACAATCTCTAATTATAAAATTCCTTCAAAGTTTGTATACTATAAAATCTGTGAATAAATGCAAGTAACAATGTTTTAAAAGTCAAAGCTGAAATAAAATGTTTTAATCAACTCCTTGAAACTTTACCAAGTTTCCCTTTTTGCCTAAAACTTTCGGGTTTTTATCTCCAACTTAGAACAAGTGCAAATTTTAAATTATCTACAAATTCTTTCTGGAACAACTCTGTAATTATTTTTTTTCCCTCAAATCCATGCAAAAATTCTAACTATTTAAAAAATGTGACCCAACAACTACAATCTATAAATTTACCCTCCTTGAATACTACTTACCTGCAGATAACATTTTTTCTCCTTGGCCACAGAGACAAAAGGAAGGATGAGAAGAGCTTTCTTACGAGTCTCCAGGACCCGCTTCAAAATAAGCAATTCTGCAACAAGAGTCTTTCCAGCACTGGTAGGAGCTGGAAAAAAAAAAGTTGAGTTTTTTTAATTAAAGTTTAAAAAAAAAAAAATCCAGCATCATAAAGCTAGGATGGAAAGCAGTTCCTGAAGAACTTGGGACAAGACTCTTCAACTGAAGCCACAACCACATTTTTTCAGTTAACTCCATAAACGGTCAAGACGACTGCAAGTATTTCTCTTGTAGCCTCTTCCATCATGCCACCAAGGCTTGTGTTCTCATCTCTGCTCCAGAAGCAACAGCAGCTCACAGATAAGCAAAGGGAAAAAAACCCAACCAAACAAAAAAACCCACTACAGTCTCTTGGTTGGACAAGAGAGTTCAGCCACCACCTCACTGACCTAGCCCATAAACATATTAATCCCTCCTGCTTGGCAAGCATTGCTGTTTGCCACCAATCATACACAGAAAACTGTAGAGGAGATGCCACATACTAGTCCTACTTGTCCTTCTGTGGTCCCCCAACTCTGCACTAAGTGAAGAGAAACAATAAATGGACTGAAAAAATTGATAGTAAATAACATTTTCCAAAGTATTTATATTTAACATTGCTGTTATCTTTCAGTTCCTGGTTGACATAGTCTGTAATAAAAAAAAAAAAGAATGACTTTTTTTTAAAATTAATTTTAAATTAACTGACTCCTAATTATCAGTTTCTAAAGGAACATTAACAGAAAAAATGGGGGGAAAAGTCTCTCCTCACATCTGGAAAGGAATCCATCAAGCCAGGTCTGAAGTACAGCATTGAGACAGATCTTAATGGGGTCTCTCCAGGAAAAAGAGGATCTTCACTTTTTTATCTGCCAGATCAGAACCCTTCAGCACTGAGAAAGTTAGGAGGGACTGGTTTTGTCAATGTTTGCATACCTGAGTAAACTAGGTTCTTCCCTTCCAGAACTTGCCCGAGCATTAGGCATTCTGCTTGCCATTCAAACATCCGTACTACTCCCAGACTGTGGTATTTCTCCAGAACTGCTTTGGGAAGACCCCAGCTTGCAAGGAGCAACTTGTCTGCCTGGTCTTCAGGAGCATTTACCTGCTGATATTGCCCTTGAGAGGAGAAAATAAAAAAATAAAACAGTATCATCCTTGAATCTGAGGTCATTTAGGTTATATACTTAAAGGTCAAACTTTTCTAGAGGCTCCTGTATTATGAGAAAAGGCCACAAGAAACTATCTTCCCTATATTTTTCAATATTTCCTATGGATGTTTCACCATTCTTATCTCACGACATAATTTTTTCAATTTTTCCTCCTGTAAGATTTTCCTCATTCAAACATTTCTTCACCAAACTCTTGCTCTCATATTTACTTTTGAGACAGAGCAGCCATTACCAAATACGTACTTGGAGAGTTCCAGCATTACAACGTATCTGCCATCTCACCCTTATCCATACTGTTTCCTTTTTAAACTACTGCTACAGAGACTTCAGTAATCTCACAGATTACAGAACTGCCCAGTCTTTTTTCCTGCTTCACGGATGAATTAAGAAAAACAACACAAACCAACCAACTAGCTCAAGCTACTCTGTACAGCGTGCGTTACTGCAGTTTATCCACACTGATTAGTATCTTCACCACATTGCCAGTTCCTCTAGTTTAATTAAGTTCCTTGCTGTTTATTTCTTATCTTTATAGCCCTAAATAATTTTGTGCTGGCTATAGATATTGCCTCCTCCCTCCCCTCCTCATCCTCCCCTGTTCCAAATCATTAAGAAAACCCAAGGGTTTTGTCCCTTTCCTCATCTGAGACAGAAAACAGGTTTCTGATCCACAGTAATGCCTCCCCTATTACCCATGACTATATAGTTCCCATAACAGCATTTTGTGAAAGACCTTGACAAATTGAGATGAAAAACAAGTATTTGTGTGTACTGACGACTGTACCCATTCTCCTACTGGCACGTTCAAAAAATTTTTAAAGAAATTTCCCACCACTGTTGACAGCATAAGGGCAGGCTAGATCAGAAATATCAGCACGCCTAAGCAGCCAGTATTTTTACTCTCAACATACTAAAAATTTCAACTGCCTTCTTGAGGTTAACCCCAACCTAGCTGTCACTGGTGCACAACCATTCTCCCCTGCACAAATATATAAACAATCTGACACAGCTTGGCTCTGAAAGCTTTGCTTCACTTTCTATAATCCAAGTACCACACAAATACTAAAGATGAAGTCGATCACTATCAGGAGAGAACAGCAGTATGCCATGAAGCAGAACAGGCTTCCCACGGGGTATGTGGAGGAGACTGGATTTGTCTACCCTAAAATGTGACTAATATGGCAGAATTAGAATTCAGAAGCATAAAAAGAAAAAAACCTACACGATGGGATCTCAAGCTTCTTCCCTAATGCTAAAACCAATGAACTACATGTAAAAGATGGAACAAGTAAAGGATTACATGATTCTGCTGTTTGAAGAGTATCTGTAGATTAGCACTGAACACGAGTTGTGCCTAAAGGATTCTTAAAAGATCAACGTACGGAAATACACACAGACACTAACCTCTTTTTTACCTACTAGAAAAATGCTAAGAAGTAGCCAAAATGAGGCCGATACAAATTGTTGGTTAAAAGCGTTGGGCATTAGATTCCTCTGAAAGAAAACCCTTTCAGAATGTGGGGCCACTTGGACATAGGAGTGCCACTTACTGAATAGTCTTTGAGGAATTGTCCTCTGGAAACACATACATCGCCTTGCTCGGCTCCATTTCACAGAATCACGGAACGGTTTGGGTTGGAAGGGACCTTAAAGATCATTGAGTTCCAACCCCCCTGCCATGGGCAGGGACACCTTCAACTAGACCAGGCCGCTCAAAGCCCCATCCAGCCTGGCCTCGGACACTTCCAGGGAGAGGGCAGCCAAAGCTTCTCTGGGCAACCTGTTCCAGTGTCTCAGCACCCTTTGCAGAAGTTAACAAAATTGTATCTCGCGGAACATAATCACACCAGGGAGAAGATGCGACATGACTGGAGAAGAGCCTGAGAGGTGTAAATGTTTTAAAGAGCTACAGAAAAACTGCAAAAGAGATGAAGTTACAAGATGTTATATAAACATCTTCATTTTAGATGTTACACAGATCTTGATTTCTCTCTTGATTTGAGAGCACAATAAGATGGTAAAATGTATTGCATCTGGAAGCATTGCTTAAATGGTCCTGGCTGGCAGCAGGACCACTTTATATAACATCTTGTATATATAGGAAAGATATCACATAAAAAAACTACAATTCTCTGCATTTGCAGGTATCAGGCCGCCAACCAGGACCACTCAGTGTGACACCTCTAGATACAATACATTTTATCAGCTTACTGTATTTTTGAATCACTTTAATAAACATAGGTAAACCTCACATCATATACCAAAGAATACAGATGATCCTGATTGTTGTATTATGGTAGCACCTAGAGGCCAAGTCAAGAATAAGGCCCCCTGTTAAATGACATACAATGAAACGAGCTCGACTTCAGAAGTGTGCAGAGAACACACATTTCCTCGCCTTCCTCAACTGAACAGTGAATAGGGCAGGAAGATCCTTCGATTCCTACTTGTACGCTACCGCCCTTGTTAACACGAGCACGTACCTCAGCTGCAGCCGCTGCCCTCAAGGGAGAAGGGAACGGGCGAAGAGCCGGTGCTTCCGCCCGAGGGCAGCGAGTCGTCCCCAGAGCAAAAGCCCCGCGCTCGGGGCCGGGAGAGGCCCTGA